CGGTCGGTCATGGCATGTGGGAGATTTACCCTCAGGTCCTGGAGGAGCGGGAGTAAACCCAAGAGCAAAATCCTCAGTGACTTGGGATGACAACTGCGTTCTTAAAGACTGAAAGCTCCTGGCAGAGCAGTTGCCTTGCCAGCAAGCTGCTGTTAACAATATCCTTTTTATTCCAGGGGCCCAAATCTGCCGTCTGCGAACCTGACTGGCTTTTGCAATTGATTTCAGCGAGGCCCTTGATTTTCACTGACATTTGCTTCGGTCAGTCACGGCTGCCCGCTCCTTCCCCATCCCTCCTCCCCACCGCGCAGCAGCAACCCCAGCGCTTCCCCTTCCCCCCCATTTACAGAGAAAGCTGAATTCCTGGCTCTGCAATAAGACAGGCAAAGTTTGGCATTCAGACAGCGAGGAAGGACTCGGGAAATCTGGTCCAGTGCCTGTGTCGTCTTCGAGTTACTGCATGATGGTGCATAAATCACTGCGTTCCCCTGTGCCTCAGTTCCCTCGCTGTGGCTGAGGATGACGGTACCCCCTCACCTCGGGGGAACAGGGGATATTAATTACTGTTCATAAGATGCTCAAATGTGGCAGCATAAATAGTAAACAAGTAATTAGTGCCTTTCTAAAGATAACTCATCTGCAAATACTCAGGTCCATAGCCTGGGACTGGAATTGGGAGCTCCCCTGGCTGTTACATAACTGCAGTGGGTTTGGTTTTTTTTTAAGGAATGGATTGTTTTTATTACTGTAGCTATTTCATAAATAAGCAACGCATCTGACTAGAAAGGATCAAACAAAAATAAATGCCTGCTTAACCCAGGCATGTGGAAACTAAGCGTTATTTTAATTATATTTTTGAAACGGCAACCTCCTATCTTTGGCCTGCAGCTTTCAGAATTCAAAGGCAAACACTGCCCTGATTTTTTATTTTTTTTTCCCATCCACAGCCTCTTTGCCTTTGCGTTGGTGAATTTGGGGCCGCCAGGTATCTCCCGAGTGCAGGAGTCCAACTGATCCTTGCTGAGGCGAGACGTGACAGGGGGACACAGGGATGCCATATGTCTTGCCTCTCCCCGTGGGGGGATCTCCTTCCCGTGGGAGGCTCCGCTCTCCAGCAGGAGATGTTGCTCCTTTGGCTAACCCATCCACCGAGCAGCAAGGCCGCCGTCGCACCTGCGCCGTGCCGTCTTTCATAATCCTACATTTTGATCTCCGGTTCAGCCGGTGGCAGGCTTTGGGAGCGGGGGGTTGCTCTGGCTGCAGTTGCAGAAGATGCTCGTTAGAAACGGGAACTCTGCGGGCGCTGGAGCCTGCTGCTAGCGAGGCCGTGCCGTGCCTGCCCCTCCGAGCAGGCTGGCAGCGCTGCAGCGTCCGACCACCATCAGGTCCCGCAGCCGCCCGAGGAGCAGCTTCTCACCGGGGATGCCCGATGCAGCGCGAGCCCGTGGGGTGCTGGGTGGGAAGGTTTCCAAGCCCTTACCTAATCCTTCCCCTCTCCCCTTTCTCATCTCTCTTACTCCTGAACAATTTTTAATAGAAAAGTGAAGCAATGAAACCACAATGAAATCATCACAGTGAAACCAAGCTTTAGCTTGAAGCAAAGATCCAGGCACCGTGCGTCTTCCCGAGGACCAAAGCGCACCCCGCGAGCTGCCAGGGCAGCAAATCCTGCAGGGTGCCAGCGCCGCAGCTGCACCCGCTGATGGACGGGGGATGCAGGGATGAAGCTTGCAGGGGGGTGCATGGGTGCCCCTCACAGGGGGATGCAGGGATGTAAAACTCAAAGAGGGGTGGGTGCAAGGGTGCTCCTTGCGGGAGGAAAAGACCCAGGTGAAACTTTCCGGGGGGTGCATGGGTGCACCTTGCAGGCGGCGGCACCTCCCGGGGGATGCACAGGTCAGGCTGCTGAGGGCGGCAGAGCTGCGCCCGGCAGGGGGGGCTGCGCGGCCGTCACCTGGCGGGGGGGCACGGATGAAGCTGGTGGGGGATGCCCCTCGCAGGAGAGGGCGGGCCGGCGGCGGGAAGGGGGGCCCGGGATCCCCGGCTCCCCGCCCAGCACCCCCCGCCTCCGCCCCGTCCCTGCACCGGCCGTGCACGGCGCACGCCTCCGGCAGATGCCGGC